GAAGCTGGAGTAGAACACTAGAACATGCACAAAAGCTTAGGGACAGCACCCAGGCCCTGAGCTCAAGCTCCAGGACTGGCATACACACTATAAGAGTCTACCTTTGTCTTCATTTTAAACACTTTTTATGGGGCTGTATAGTTAAGGGGATATAAAATTTAGGTCTATGGTTTGTAAACTAGATAAAGTGGCATACTTAGATAACTGTTGGCAAGTTGGTCATGATTTTTGACCACTGTGCACTGATTTTTTTCCCCCTTATTTCTATTTCACCATATCATAGGAATTTTAAATGGGCTAAATTTACTATTACAGACTTACTAATGGCAAACAGTTTCCAAATGAAATGGTTTCTTCTCCACTAATAAACATACAGTTTTATTATGAATCTAGTCAATATTCATTGAAAGGAAACACAACTAGAAACTAGATCTTTGTCTGCTCTTATCAAATGAATGTATAATACCAAATACTAACAATATTTTATGAGAGCTATTAATTCAGGATCATTTGTTAAGATAGAGCTTTGAAATGTTTTCATTATATGAATAATTTCATCCGCCTACATATTAATACTTTTTATCCCAATGTCCACTCCACTCTTAAGACTGGATCTTCATCCTTAATAGCCTTCTTCCTTTGATTTCTAGTCTCACTTATATATTGCATGTAAACTTACTACATGTATTCCTTACACAATATTAGAAAATATAAACAGAAAAATTCTGAGATTGCAGGTATGAATAAATCATACATATACACATATATAAATAAATATATGTAGATATAAAAATCTTAAGATTGTTAAAATTCATATATTTGCCATAATTAAGTTCAGGTCTCTTTCTTAAACTAGTATCCCTTCTCTATTATTTCAGTGCAATGGGAAAAATGGAAAGATTCATATTTAGAGACATTAAATGTAGATTTTAACTCTTTGTATTAATACACATAATACATGTGAGTTGGGCTAATGAAAGGCTGCTAAAAATTACCAGTCTGTACTTCCCAAGGGCACATCACAGTGACTTAAAAGAGATAAGCAATCATCATATTTGTGCTGTTTTTCATTTTATAATATTTTCATAGTTTGTGGGAATAGGAAAGAGCAGACAGCTATGTAAATAGCAAAGTATTTGATGAATTTTCAAAAAACCAACTAATATTTATAACAAAGGTTTAACATATTATTGTACTAAAATTGGACAATAAAATATTTTAATTTCTTTAAAAAAGAAAAATAACACTATTTAAATGTACCTTATACAAAGAACATTGGTTATGCCTAGAACAGCCTGTCTGTTTTTGTAAAAAAAACTTTACAACATATTCGAGTCATTTATAACAAGCTTTGAAATCATTTTCTAAATGAAGTAAAATTGGAGAACTTCCAAAATAAGCTGCAATTATGAAAGGTTTATAGGAAAACAGATCATCTTTACTGAATGGAAAACCTTATATGAAAAAATAATGAAAATTAATAAAATGATTTTCACAGATTCTAATATCTTATTTTATTCTCATCAGCACATTCTTTATCTTTGTCTTTTTAACATAGAGTCAGTTGTCCTGTTTCAGGACTGTTAAGAACTATAAGGCAACAGTAACAATGAAAATCCCTCCATACTATGAAGATAAACTGTCAAAACAGCCAGGCACTAGTGGCTCACACCTGTAATCTTAGCTAAACAGAAGGCTGAGATCTGAGGTTCATGGTTTGAAGCCAACCCTGGCAGGAAATGTCTGAGAGACTCTTATCTCCAATTAATCATAGAAAAGGACAGAAGTGGTGCTGTTGCTCAAGTGGTAGAGTGCTAGACATGAGCAAAAGGAGCAAGGATAGTGTCCAAACCCAGAGTTAAAGCCCCAGGACTGGCACAAAAAAAAAAAAAAAATCAAAATATTCGCCACTATTTTTCCTGTAGGAAAAAGCAAGATTTTATTGTTATTCTTTCCTCAGTATAAAGCTAAAGATCAAAGAGACTATTGTCAAAATGGCTGCAAACTAGTTAGGGTTAGGTTTCTGCTCCCTGTGATCTTTGACCGTTTTTTCCCAGATAAACCTCACTTTCTCTCTCTCTCTCTCTCTCTCTCTCCACTCTTTCTGTCAACCACAGGGCCTGAACTCTGGGCCTGGGCACTGTCCCTCAGTTCTTCAGCAAAAGGCTAGCATTACAGCGCCACTTCCGGCTTTTTCTGCTTATATGGTGCTGAGAATCGAACCCAGGGCCTCATATATGCAAGGTAACCACTCTACCACCTTCCCAGCCCCAAACCTTAACATTTTTCAATTGGCATTCTTCTAACATTCCTGGAATGTGAAATTAGGATAACTGAAGATGAATTATAGGAGTTAAGGTAAGATTTCTTTCTTTTTTTTTTTGTTTAAAGGTAATTCTTTCATTGGGAAACAATTTTAAAGTTGTCATTTCATTAAAACAATAGATGAATGCTTGTATGGAACTGGAAACATGAAAAAAATAGTTGATGTCCTAGTTTACAAGATGAAGCCAAACTACTACCAAATGATAAAAAATGTCTCATTCATCACTACAATCCATTTGCACAGGGTGAACTTTTTTTGTTTGTAAGAATTAATGAAGTAGATTATGTTTCTCATTGGATAACATTTATCTTGATTTTGTACAATTAAGCTTTTCTTGTATTGATAAGAAAATTCCAAGAAAATTAGAGACTACAATATCATCTTTACTACAAACATTTCATTAAGCCAATTTTATCAGGCTAAGGATATCTAACAGAAATAACTCAAGCTTTATACATCTTGGAATGTGGGTCACTTATTTAGGGACTTTTTCTTGATTATCAGTAAATAATTAGATAAATGGTAAGAAGCTATCCAGTTCTTGAGAGTTTATTTAAAATATGTCCAACTGTATTATTTGTTCTCACTTTAGATGTATAAGCTATATATGAAATGCATTATTTTCCTATTATAGCTTTCTTAAACATGGACCATCTAACATAAATGTTACTATTCTTTAGTAATTTACTTTTATTTTCTGGCTAGAAAGAACATAGAAACAAATATGCTTTTTGTTTATGAAAATTCAGGCACTGTGGTGACAGCTCATCATAGCAAGTAATGAGGCTCAGTCCTCTGCAGATGCCAGGACTAGTGAGTACACAGGTATCACAAAACTGTTGCTTGTAAGAGTTCTTGAAAATACAGCACAGTATTACTCTTCTCTAAATCAAGCTCCAAATGTTTCCAAACTTCTTAGAGACCATAAATGATCATAGCCCATCTGAGATATTACTAATCATGACTAGACATCCTGTCCAAAGGGAGTCACTACTGCTATTTGTTTGTAAGTAACATAAAATGTTTAGAAATGTAATTTCTTTCTTTCTTTTTTTTGTTGGTCGTGGGGCTTGAACTCTGGGCCTGGGTGCTGTTCCTGAGCTCTTCAGCTCAAGGTGAGCACTCTACCACTTCTGGCTTTTTCTGCTTATGTGGTGCTGAGGAATTGAACCCAGGGCCTCATGCATGCAAGGCAAGCACTCTACCACTGAGCCACTTTCCCAGCCCTAGAAATGTAATTTCTTTTGTGTAATAAAGGTAATATGCCAAATTCAAAGGTAGCAAAGGAGTAAAAGTTATGAATCTAAACTCACAGCATATAACAGACAAAGAAAGTAAGAAGTAAAACTTGCTCCTAAAAGCCTGATACATTTTCAATCCATCTAGAGAAAAATATCTAGGTAGGTAAGTGAGTAGGACTGGACATTTCATAGAGAATGAAAATGAAAACCTAGCCTTATGGAAATATTTTCATTTGAATACTGGGAGAATCTCTTGTTTTCATCCACCTTATTCTGTAGGTATAATTTCCTGATAATTTTAATTTTACCAAGATTGGGCCTTCATCCTAATTTATTTTAAAAACAGTTGAAACTTTATGCTATTTCTGAAATAAAGGTGATTGTGAGAACTGTCTTGTTGTTTTTAGTCTTTATTGTTAAAACTTAATTCATAAACTGGGCAAAGTGCTACAAGCGTATTTTGTTGTTTAGGAGGCTGAAGAAAGAGTGCAGGAGTTTGGAGCCAGAACTGAAAACAGTGAGACCATCTGGAAAGAAGGAAGAAAGGAAGGAGGAAGAGAGGGAAGGAGGGAGGGAGGGAAAGGAAAAAAAAAGGGAAAAAGGAAGGACTTAATATGTTGACCAAGTCAGCTATCTACTCACATGACTTGCTTTATTATTAATTCTTGTTGTTTTATAGTCATAGCAAGAAGAAGCAGTCTTAGACTTTTTTGCTTGATATAAAACAAACCACATTATGACAGCCAGGGATGGTGGTGTAAACCTGTAATCACTCAGGAGGCTGAGGCAGAAGGATTGCAAATTGAAGGCCAGCCTAGACCACATAGTAAAACTCTGTCTTTAAAACATAAAGTAGGGGGCTGGGAAGGTGGCTCAGTGGTGGAGCACTTGCCTTGCATACATGAGGCCCTGGGTTTGATTCCTCAGTACCACATAAGCAAAAAGAAAAAAAGCCAGAAGAGGCACTGTGGCTCAAGTAGTAGAGCGCTAGCCTTGAGCTGAAGAGCTGAGGGACAGTGCCCAGGCCCAGAGTTCAGGCCCCACGACTGAACCCCCCCCAGAAAACAAAAACAAAAACAAAAAAACCCCATAAAGTAGGATAAAATGGCTGAACGGTTAAAGTGATGGGCTGTGTGTGTGTGTGTGTGTGTTAAAGCACTACAGATTTTAGGTCAACCTTAAAAGATGAAGTATGAATGTAAAATCAAACACATGAACACAGATTCTGAAAATTCTTAATTATACTAAACATGATTTAAAGTTACTTATATGTAACACAAAAAATTGAATAAAACCTGAATTTTCAAACTGTGAGTACATAAAATAACATCCTATTAGATAACCCATGTAAAACAAATAAACAAAAAAAATCGAAGCTAATTTCAGAATTTTCATAATTTTTTTGTCAGTCATGGGGCTTGAATGAATTTTCATTTTTTTTTGCTTTAAAAAGTATGCTATGGTAGAATAAAAAGGTTGGAGGTGAACTTAAATATTATATGGTACCGAATTTGTAATTAAACAGAAGGCAGTTCATTTTCAAATGAATATTCTTTTTTATATAGCACCTCATAGACAAAGTGCTTCATAATGATTACTTGACAGTATTAAGCAATGTAAGAAACATGTCTTAAAAGGTAAGCACTTTGAGGCAAAATATCCAAGAAAATCTATTCAGTAACAGAGTCCTGGACTAGTAGGTAAGACTTCAGAAAGAATTAAGATAGAAATCATAATAATACATACAAGAAGTCATGTATTAAGGTGTAAGTAATGCAAAATATTGAGAAAGGAAGTTTATATTAAGGAATAAACAAAACAAATGAGATACAAGACCACTAACTGCCCAAAGAGTAACATTACCTATTACCTGTAAGTATATGAAAAATAAATCTTTTATATGTGTAGAACTGAATGTATACATGTCAAGCACATAACTAGAATCTGATTCTTAGTTACTAAAATGATATTTCAGAGAAAGAAAAAAAGACAGACTGCCTGAATTTTTCTTGTGTAATTTCTCCCCAAATAACCTTATCAATGTACTCAAGTTATCAATGTACTCAAGTTATCAATGTACTCAAGATAGCACAAAACAATGAATTTTCTGTTTATGTTTTTACAAATTGTCTCTAAATATTCAAACAAATTTAATTTCCTATAAAACAATGTGAAAACCATTTTTCTCCCTCTAAATCATTCCCCTAGGTGCCTTAGGAGATTTGATTAGCACTTCTGTCACTGTATTTAAGTTTCTGCAAAAAGTGCGCTTGCTAACCACTTTTTGTAGTATGTATGTTATTTGAAGAGCATCTGGAAAACAATTGAAAATAGACTAATATCATAAAAAGATTAAATTCCCTTCAAACAGACATTCATATAAAGCATGATAACACATAGGCACAATAAAGAATACAAAGTGTGTATCAATTATTGGCAGAAAATCTAATTCATAACAAAGCCTACACCATTGGGGAAAAGGACATATTCATACAAAGTAAAGTATTACACTATTATACAATACTTAAAATTGTACATTTACAAATTTTTGGCACATTAAAAGGAACTGAAAGGACTACAAAATAAAGGACAAAGAAACTGAAACAAAGATATAAGACAGAGAGAAAGCCCTCCAATGAGCAACATTAATTATTGACTTTTGGTGAACTTCCTGAAATGTTGCTATATGTGACACAAGTATGCTTTGATGCAGGTTATTTCCGGCTTCTCTACCTTGCTGTTGCTGGTTGGACATGGCCTGGGTAGGATCTTCTTGCGCTGGTGGCTTGTCTTTGTCTAGCTAAAAATGACTGCCCTGAACCTGTGCTAGCCAGTCTATCTTCAGCTGCCTTTTTATGCAGAGTCATTCCCTTCAACATTAAAAACAAAGAAGAACAAGGAATCAATGAAAGTACAATACAAGTACAGTACATGCTCACAAAAGAAAATTTCATCATGCAAGATTTAATACATTATACAGCAAAGCACAAGTAATTACAAATATTAATTCAACTCTATAGATTAAAATGTTAAAAGAAGCATTTTTAGTTCTAAAATTAAGAATAAATCTTGCTTTGGCAAAACTGAGACTTAATTTTTTGGATTTATATTAACCGAAACAACAGATAATGCAGACAGATTTTTGTAATACATTACTTATATTCTATCATATTTCTCTTTCAAATCAAATGTATAGTGATTTTCCAAGAAAAAAGTGCAATTGATTAACAGCAGTTGATTTACATGGGCTTTAGAAATCATAGGGCATATTCAGAAAAGCAAAATGTACTTATTTCTTAAGATGGAAAGCCATTCTAAGTATTATACATACCATACTTTGTTGTTTTTCTTCACTTCAAGGCAGACTTATATTCTTAAATTAAGCAAAATTCTCAATAGCCACAAAAGAAGTCCCAACCAAGATCCTTTCCTTGAAGACAAAAGGATCTGTACCTCTAAGGAGAAAGGCGGCACAATTGGTGGGTGAAAGCCCTTAAAAAAGTCAAGTTATCTCCAGGTGCTTCCAGAATGTAGAGGAAAAACAATAGTGACAAAAAGGGCTTGAATTTACTAAAGAGAAGATTAGGAAAAGAACAGTTCTGATATTTTAAAAAATAAATTGATGAACATAGCTGGGTGCTAGTGGCTTATGCCTGTAATCCTAGCTACTCAGGAAGCTGAGATCTGAGGAATGAGGTTCAAAGACAGCCTGGGCAAGAAAGTTTGTGAGACTCTTACCTCCAATTAACCACCACAAAACCAGAAGTGGTGTTGTGGTTCAAGTGGTAGAGTGCCTGCCTTGAGCTGAAGAGCTGAAGGACAGTGCCCAGGCCAAGTGTTGAAGACCCACCACCACCAACAAAAAATAAATAAATTAAAAAAAAATTGATGAGCATTTCTAGCCAGAGAAACTTTAAGAACTGAACATAGGTAAAATCGGAAAAAGTGGAGGTTGACAACAAAGGAAAATCCAATCTTTATTTGAGACAGGGTTCCACTATGTACTCTAAGTTGGCCTTGAATCTGAAAATGTAGCTCAGGTAGGCCTTGAACTCACATTCTTTCTTCCTCAGCTTTTTCCCTAGTGCTGGAGATAGAGATGTGCACAAACATATCTGATACAAGTTAACATTTTTTTTTCTTTCGCTGGGTTTGAACTCCCATTTGCTGGGCAGGAACTCTACCACTTCAGACATACTTCAAGCCCTTTTATTTTAGTGATTTTTCAGATAATGGTCTCAGTTTTTTGAAAGAGGTTGGACTGTGACTGTCATCCTCTAAATCACATAGCTGGAATTACAGACGAAAACTACCACACTCAGCTTGTTGGCTGAGATGAGGTCTTACTAGATTCCTGCTTCCAGTAGCCTTGAACAGAGAGGAAGAGGAGAGAGAGAGAGAGAAAGAGAGAGAGAGAGAGGGAGGGAAAGCAGGGAGGGAGGGAGGGGGAGGGAGAGAGGGAGAGGGAGACGGGGAGGAAGACAGAGAGAAGGAGAGGGAAAGAATGAGAATACTAGGACTTGGACCCAGGGCCTGGGCATTGTCCATTAGCTTTTTTGCTCAAGGCTGATGTTCACTTGAGCCACAGCTCCACTTTTAGCTTTTTGGTGATTAACTGAAGAGAGTCTCATGGACTTTCCTACCTTGGCTGGCTTCAAACCACAATCTTCATATCTCAGCCTCTTGAGTAGCTAAGATTTACAGGTGTGAACCACATCCTAGCTTCCATCAAATCATTTGAGGATTTGAACAAAAATCTACAAATAAACTTAATCTATTAATTTAGATAAATACATCTTATTTACAATACTATAACTGCCAGGCACCAGTGGTATTTGCCTGTAATCCTAGCTACTAAGGAGGCTGAGATCTGAGGATTGCAGTTCAAAGCCAGCAGGGGCAGGAAAGTCTGTGAGACTCTTATCTCCAATAAACCACTCAGAAACCTGAAAGTGGCGCTGTGGCTCAAAGTGGTAGAGCACTTGCCTTGAGCTGAAGATCTGAGGGACAGCAACCAGGCCCAGAGTTCAAGCCCCACAAGGGACAAAAAAACAACCCCCCTCCCAAAACAAAACAAAAACAAAATACTATGACTTGTCACATTTCAACAATTCATTAAAATTTTTTGTATACTTTTTTTTGGTGTAACTTGTATACTGTGATTCAGAATTCTACTATATCTCAAGTCCTCTACTCATTTTTTTTCTTTCTGCAGGTATGCGAATCAAGTGCTATATCATTAAGCTACATCCCCAGAACCCCTTTATACGCTATCCAAGGCCATTCTTTTTTTTTTTTTTTTCTTTTTACTTATGTGGTGCTGAGGAATCTAACCCAGGGCCTCAGGCATTCAAGGCAAGCGCTCTACCACTGAGCCACCTTCTCAGCCCTCCAAGGCCATTCTTGAGCTACTGAATACCTCTTCCTAGTACTCATCATCATTTCTATTAAAACTGTGTAGATGCTGACATTTCTTTTCTTTTCTTTTTTTTTGCCAGTCATGGTGTCTGAATTCTGGGCCTGGGCACTGTCCCTCAGCTCTTCAGCTCAAGGCTAGTGCTCTACCACTTGAGCCACAGCACCACTTCCAGCTTTTTCTGCTTATGTGGTGCTGAGGAATAGAACCCAGGGCCTCATGCATGCAAGGTGAGCACTCTACCACTGAGCCACCTTCCCAGCCCTGATGCTGACATTTCTGAATGTAACTCTGAAGCATTCAAAACTAGGACTATTATTAGTACCAAGTCACAGAACAAATAATATGTAAAACTATATGAAATTACTAATAATATATGCAAAAATAGTTAAAACTATATGAAATTACTAATAAAAACTAAAATTCAAAGCTATTAAAACTGAGAATACTAAGCTTTGAGAAGACAAGAGATAAAACAGGAGTCAGGATTAACTCCCAGAAAACTTCTTTAATTATGTAGCACCCCCCCCCCCCCGCTTTTTTCCTTTTGTGTGCTGGTACTGAGAAGGCTTGAACTCAGGCCTCACACTCTCACTTGACTCTTTTTGCTCAAGGCTGGCACTCTACCAAGTGAGCCACAACTTCAATTCTAATTTTTTGGTGGTTAATTGGAGATGAATCTCATAGATTTTTCTGCTTGGGCAGGCTTTGAACTGTCATCCTCAGATTTCAGACTCCTGAGTGTCTAGGCTAGGATTACAGATGTGAATCACTAATGCCTGGCAAGTTTTCTTTCATTTTTAAAATTGAAATTTCAAGAAATCAGTATTTGATAAAAGAATACTATAAACCTCAAACTTTCTCCTTTAGAAACTGTGATAAAGTCTTAAATATGCAATTTTGACCAAGCCAGGTATGAGTATGGACATGTCATAAAATTTTTAGCAATAGATCAAATCATATTAGGCCAGGGGCACTAGCCTTTAAGATGCAGTATAATTTTAACAGTAAAACAAAACAATGGCAGGGCACTGACGGCTCATGATTGTAATCCTAGCTACTCAGGAGGCTGAGATCTGAAGACTGTGGTTAAAAACCAGCCTGGGCAGGGAAGTCTGCTGAGACTCTTTAATTCCAATTAACTACCAAAATGTCAGAAGTGGAGCTGTGGCTCAAATGTTAGTGTGCTAGCCGTGAGAAAAAATGCTCATGGACAGCACCAAGGCCCAGAGGTCAAGCTCCAGAACCTGTACACATACACCACCACCACCATAAAAAAAAAAAAAACAATGCCTTTATGCCAACAGTGGAGATCAGAAGTTGAAAAAAATTTGAACTTGTTGGAAACTAGCTGTCATTTCAGAAAACTTTTGAAAAGGCAGTTTTTTCAATGGGAAGAAAAAAAAAGATGACAACAAGAGTTGGAATAAAGTACTGAAAAAATGCAGCATTCCCTATAAAATTCATGACTAGTCTAATCCACAATAGAATGCTATGAGTATTAATTAGTGTCCTTGCCAAGAAGTTTTGTTGTGTTGGAATATTCAGGATCTGACACTGTTAACATCTTCTATATCCCCTGAGAAAGTAAACTATCCCATCCTGAAAAGGTTACAACAAAGTAGAGCTACTACTTCTTTGTGTGCCTTCCTACAGCAAACAGCTCTGAGGAACAAAAACTACGCTGACATTTGTCTTTATGTTTCTGGGAATTATGAATGATACTTTCATAATACCATTCTGTTTGTGGGTTATATCTTCTTTGCTGTCAGCAGGGAAGCTTTGTTAGTGTGTTAGGGTGATACTTGAAAACTTTCAAGATCTTTTGTTAAAATTGCTTCTTCAGAAAAAGCAATCTAGTAATTTGATAAACTAGTATTTGGTAAACGTTGCATTATGTTCTGAAGCATTATTTTCTTACCATATTGTACCAGGCACTAACTATGTATTTCTCTTCCATCTCTCTTTGACTCTTCGTTTTCTCATATTCTTTCTAAAATTAAGAACATGTAAATATGTAAAAATACAATCAATATAAAGAAATAATTAACTATGTAAACCAATGGATACAAAGCTTACAATATAACAAGGATCTCAGAAATCAGAACCCAGAATTTTATGGCCCATCACAGTACAGTGAACTACCTCTAATGAATGGAACAGCCGCTCTCGTTCCTGGAGTTGATTTTTAAGAGCTTGTATTTCTGGTGCTGCTCCTTGATTCTGTTTAGGATCTAAAGTCCGGATAACCTGCCAACAGTAATAAGAAGTCTCAAACTCAAGGAATATAACCTTTAAAAATCAATTAAAGCAGGGGCTGGGAAAGTGGCTCAGTGGTAGAGCGCTTGCCTTGCATGCATGAGGCCCTGGGTTCGATTCCTCAGCACCACATAAGCAAAAAGAAAAAAGCCGTTCTTTCTGATAG